AGTGTCTCTCCCCCCTTGGCCCCCGTGGCTGTGGTTTTATTGGGGGGCCCCCCCCCCCCTCTTTTTTTTTTTTTTTTTTTTTTTTTTTTTACATTTTTAGAAGAGATGGGATTTCTCTATGTTGCCCAGGCTGGTCTGGATCTCCTGGGCTCAAGGGATCCTCCCACCTCTGCCTCCCAAAGTGCTGGCATTACAGGTATGAGCCACTTCGCCTGACCAATCAATAAGATTTTCATCTTGTAGAGGAAGAAAAAAATAGGCGTTAAAAAGCCAGTAAACATATTTCCTCCAAATGCCAGTAAAAAAAGATCTCAATCAACAATGGTTGTCAATTGCTCTAACAGCCAACGAGAAAGGGGTCAGGGCTGCATGCTACCAACAGTTCAATGCTACAGATTAACCAAAAACCCACCCCAGCTGTGCAGGCAAAAGCTCCAGGAGTGCAGCTTCGGAACTACCTAGTCAGGCACGTTACCTCCCAAACAGGAAAGACAATCATATTTTCAGCAGCCTGACGCCTCAAACCTTGGGAGGAGGGGTATCCCCTCCACATCCCATTCCCTCGACCTCATGACTCATACCCGTTACCCACTCTGCGGATGTCACCAATCGCCAGGTAACCCTGCTCGTCGCTGGCTGATGTAACCGGCGGTTGAGGAGGGCGAAGAGGGGGCCGCTGGCGGGGCTGGGGGACAGCGCAGCCGCAAAAGCCATCCACCGAGAGGCATCGCCCGGTCTGCGACTGCGCACTAAGGCCCACGGGCCTCTTCGTACCCCCCCCACCTCGCGCGATCTGAGCCCACTGCGCCTGCGTGTGCCGCCACTCTCAATTCCATTAACACACACGCGCGCACAGGAAAAACTGAGCAGGGCGTCCACTACTCATGCACCACCACCAGACGAGCCCCTCCACGAACTCTCCCAGCCCCTGCCCTAGGTGTTCCCTGGACGCGCGAATGCCCGGGTCATGAGACAGAGCATCCACGCGCACGTACGGGAGGGGGCGCGCGCGCGCCAGAGGTTCCAGTCCCGCAGTCCTCCCAGTCGTCCCTCCTTCCGTCCCCCCGCCCACCTCGCTCCCCTCCTACTGGCCAGACCGGGAAAAGGGAGGCAGCAACCCGCTCCCAAGTCCCTCCCTCCCCATTGGCCAAACTGTGGGCCGCGCGCCCCCCTCCATTGGCTACAGCCGGGGACCCCTTCCCGCAGCAGACTCCCCATTGGCTAAAGCCGGGAACCGCGAGACCCTTCGTGGTAATGGAACCGGGGACCCCATCACCTCCTCGCCCCCCCCCCAACTCCCCGTTCCGACGGCACCGGCGGGATGCGCCCCGCCTCCCCTGAAGGCTGGGGCTGCGAGCCCTGACTAGGCCCCGAGAGCCGAGCACGGCCTGTCAGCGTTCCGGTGGCCGCTCGGGGACCCTTTCCCTACGACCTGTTTGGACCTGAGGGTACCCTCCCCCGGCTTCACGGGGGCTCCCCGCCCCGCCGGTGCGCCTCACAGTGCCGAGTTGGGGTACGCCCCGCCGGAACCGAGCCCCTGCCTCCGGGTGGCCGCGGCTCCCCCGCCCGGAGCCCACCCTCCTCACCTGGCGCTGCCGATGGTGGCGGCCCCCGGCCTCTCCTGGTGCTGCTGCGGCGGCGGCGGCTGCGGCGCCAAGATGCCTTCGGCTCCCCGGCGGAGCCCGCTCCCGGCAGCGGCCGCAGGCCCCAGGCAGGGGGAGGCGACCGCTGGAGGCCCGGGCGGAGCCGCGGAGGTGGCCAGCGGCCCCGGGAGCCCGCCGTTGGGAGGGCTGGTGCCCCCGGGGGGCCGGCGGGCCACGGCCTGTTGCGTGGGGGGCGGCTGCTGGGGCTGGGAGGGCTGTTGTGGCGGCTGAGGCTTCAACATGATGGCAGCGTCCGGAAGGGGAATCAGAGGGAAGGGAGGGAGAGAAGGGGCCGGGGCTGGGGCCCCGCCGAAGAGCGCGGGAAGCGAGGGGGATCGGGCAGCCGGGGCCCGCCGTTGGCGGGCGGGGGGAGCCCCGCGGTGTCGGGGGTGGAGAGAGAAGACCGCGGCGCGAGGAAGCGCCGCGAGGCGGAAGGGGAGGGGGTCTCGCGGGCTGGAGGAAAGCGAGAGGGCGCGAGCCGGGCTGCCGCGCGTGCGCGTCGCCGGGGCGCGGGGAGGGAGGAGCGCGCGGGCGGGAGCTCCCGGGGGGAGGGGCAGCCGGAGCGAGCGGTGGCGCTAGGTGCCGCGCACACCGGCGCGGTCAACTCCCGCGGTAGGAAGGGAGAGAATCAAGTCGGTGAACGTCGCACCCCTAGCCCTGGGAGTGGGTAAGGAGCGGCGCGGGCGCTCACGCGCGCCAAGGATTTAGGATCTCAAGATCTCAAACCGCCTTAGAAGCCGGCGGCCGCTGTCGCTTCACAATGAGCGTGTGAGGCGCTGGGGGAGGAGCCGAAGGCGCCAGAGGAAGGGCCGGCTACTCCGCCCATGCCGGCGCTGCGTCGCGATGCCTCCGCGGGAGTGTGAGGCGGCACGTCGTGCGTGAGGCTCTTCCGCCACTTGGGGGCCTTTGGGCGGAGCCTTAAGTGCCAAAAACCTATCCTGGGCTAGACCACCCGAGCGACTGCGCTTTTAGGCAGGTGGTATGTTTCGCAAGGAGCTACTCTCCACCCTGTTGGCTTTAAGTAAAAGACTGATGGGCATTAAAGTGATTCATTCGTTTGAGCGTGTTGATCTTTGCAGATAAATTTATGCCTCGTCCTAAATTATTGTAATTTTTATTGATTTTAACCAAAATTGTTCTTCCATGCTCGAGAATGAATCTTTAAACTGTAGTAACAAAGACTATCTGAAGGCCAAAGTTCTGAGTTGAAAATCCTCCACCCAACCCTACAAAGAAGGTAACATCATTCATTCAAAATGAATTGGGCATTCAGTTACAGGTTTTGGACCCAGGATAATTAAACTGCTGTCTGCTCTCAAGGATTTCACGCTGGTGGTGGATTCAGAGAATTGGACGAAATCTAGTAGGTGAAGCACAGGGCACTACAAGAGCAAATGGGAGTGACACCTAATCTTAATGCAGTATTGGGTGGCCAGATAACCAACAAGAGGGCCAGGGGCAGTAGCTCTCACACGTGAAATCCTAACACTTTGGTAGTCCAAGGCAGGAGGATCATTTGAGGCCAGGAGTTTGAGAACAGCCTGGGCAACGCATGAGACTTTGTCTCTACAGGAAATAAATTTTAAAATTAAAAAAAAAAGAAAAAACTGATAAGAGAGTAGGGAGATGGGTTTCTTTTTTTTTTTTTTTTCCCCCAGATAGAGTTTTGCTCTTGTTTCCCAGGCGGAGTGCAATGGTGAGATCTCAGCTCACTGCAACCTCCTCCTGAGTTCAGGTAATTCTCCTGCCTCAGCCTCCTGAGTAGCTGGGATTACAAGCTACTAATTTTTTACAGGCCCTGCTAATTTTTGCATTTTTAATAGAGATGGGATTTCACCATGTTGGTCAGGCTGGTCTCAAACTCCTGACCTCAGGTGATCCACCCACCCAGCCTCCCAAAGTGCTGGGATTAACAGATGTGAGCCACCATTCCTGGCTGGGAGATGGGTTTCTAGGCAGGGGAATAGGATGATCTGCCCGCTTTGGCCTCCCAAAGTTCTGGGATTACAGGTGTGAGCCACCGCGCCCAGCCAGAACTGAAACACTTTCTAGCCCCTCCACACCAAACACGTGCACACCTAGCTACAAGACTGCTTTACACTCAGAGGATCTCTTCTTGGTCTAACCATAAAATTAAAGGGGGGAAGAGGTAGTTATCCTGGGGTCAGGTTTTAAAGGCTGGCAATGCTCGTAAGAGACCTGGATATTATCCTTAAAGCAGTGGGGAGCTTTTTTAAGAAAGTGAAAAGAGGCTGGGCATGGTGGCTCATGCCTGTCATCCTAGTACTTTGGGAAGCTTGAGGTTAGGAGTTTGAGACCAGCCTGAGCAACATGGTGAAACCCTGTCTCTTCTAAAAATACAAAAATTAGCTGGGTGTGGTGGCATATGCCTGTAATCTCAGCTACTCAGGAGGCTGAGGCAGGAGAATGCCTTGAACCCTGGAGGCTGAGGCAGCAGTGATACCAGATCGCATCACTGCACTCTAGCCTAGGTCACAGAGCAAGACTTTGTCCCCTGAAAACAAAAAAAGAAAGTGAAAATAGGTCAGATTTACAATGTGAAGAATGGAGTGGAGCTGTTACATCCATGTGGTCTTAATCCCAGCGAAATTCTCAATGTCTCAATCTTTCTTCATTTAGCATTGAAACTTTCTTTTCTTTTCTTTTTTTTTTTTTTTTTTTTTTTGAGACAGGGTCTCTCACCCAGCACCCAGGCTGGAGTACAATCTCGACTAACTGCAACCTCTGACTCCCGGGTTCAAGAGATTCTCCAGACTCAGCCTCCTGAGTAGCTGGGATTACAGGTGCACGTGCCACCACCCCCAGCTAATTTTTTTATTTGTAGTAGAGACAGGGTTTCACCATGTTGGTAAGACTGGTCTCCAACTCCTCATGATCTGCCCGCTTTGGCCTCCCAAAGTTCTGGGATTACAGGTGTGAGCCACCGCGCCCAGCCAGAACTGAAACTCTTTCTAGCCCCTCCACACCAAACACGTGCACACCTAGCTACAAGACTGCTTTACACGGCCAGGCGCAGTGGCTCATGCCTGGAATCTCAGTACTTTAGGAGGCCGAGGCAGGCAGATCACCTGAGGTTGGGAATTTGAGACCAGCCTGACCAACATGGAGGAACCCCCATCTCTACTAAAAATGCAAAATTAGCCTGGCGTGGTGGTACAAACCTGTAATCCCAACTACTTGGGACACTGAGGCAGGAGAATTGCTTGAATTGGGGAGGCGGAGGTTGCGGTGAGCCAAGTTCGCACCATTGCACTCCAGCCTGGGCAACAGAGCAAGACTCGGTCTCAAAAAAAAAATAAGACTCCCTTACTGTTTGGGTAATAGTCTTTTGCCCTTCCTCACTCCTGCCTTCACATGTGCTAGTTACCCCTTCTGTGTGCTCGTCAGCAGTTTATTCCACTGTAGTCTAACAGCTCCTTTAATTGTTTTCCTGCTAATGTCAGCTCCCTAAGGATTGCGATCTTGACTTATTTCTTGCTCTGCGGTACCCAGCACACTGCAGGCAACTCAATGAAATATTTGTCAGGTGAGTGGATCCAAATGCTATTTTAAAGGCCTTCATGTCTCCTGGGTTCCCTAACACCGTCCACCTTTTTGCTGGCATTACCTGGACCACCTGGTGCCATGCCATCTCTCTACCCTCATTGTGAGCACTGAGCACTCTAACCTCCATCCACCTACCCCATCCAGCTCCACACTCAAATTCTAAGTTTTAGCCCTATGAAACTCCCTTCTCCATAGCTTGCCTTGCCCTTGCTAGGGGCAGCTAATTCGCATGGGGTCTGCAGCAACCTCAATTCTTGCCTCCTCAGAAGAAAGAATTCCACCAAGGGCCATAAGCCAGAGAGAGAGACAGGCAAGTTTCAGAGCAGGAGTGAACATTTATTAAAAAGTTTTAGAGCAGGAATGAAAAGGGAAGTAGAGATCACTTGGAAGAGGGCCAAGCGAATGACTTGAGAGATTCAAGTCCCTGGTTTGACCTTTGACTTGGGGTTTTACATGTTGGCATGCTTCCAGGGGTTTGCATCTCTTCTTCCCTGATTCCTCCCTTGGTGTGGGCTGTCCACATGCACAGTGGCCTGCCAACACTTGGAGGGACCACATGCACAGTGTGTTTACTGAAGTTGTGCGCATGCTCACTTGAGGTGTTCTTCCCTTAACAATCTAGCATTCCTGGAGGAAGGGCATATACCATTGAACTCCACCATTTTGCCTCTTGGTGCACATACTTGAGCGCACTTGCCCAACTTCTGAGATCTTATCGAGAAGCTGCTGATCACCAGTTTCAAGTGTTTTCCATCTTATTGGTAGACTGCCTTTCCCTCGTGCTGGCTGCAACCAATTACTATTTTAGAAATACAGTTTAACAACCCCCTGACCATCTCCTGATGGTTGCCTGACATTCCTGATGGTGGGGTTGGGGCAGCACTCCTGTCCTGCTCATTCTGACTAGCTACCTACTGTAACGCCCTTATACAAGCACTGACATAGAATTCTCTTCAAATTCCCTACTTTCTCATTCTTCAAGCCTAAGTGTCAGTTCTTTGGAACGTCCTCTGTTACTGAGTCCCTCCTCTGGGCCCTCCAAGCAGTGTGTTGTTTTGGTTTCTATTTGTCTTACCTTTCTTTTGGAGTTCAAGGTCATAAAGGGCATTTCTCTATCCCTCGTACCTAGCTCAGTGGGTGGCACCCCCCCTCTTTAAGTCATTGGGTAACAACTGGAATGTCGTCTTATTGTGTGCAGTTTAAAAATTTTATCACTATGATTAGATATGGAGTGATTTCCAAGATACAACGTTATGTAAAGAAAGCAAACTTCACTGGGCACGGTGGCTCATGCCTGTAATCTCAGTACTTTGGGTAATCTCAGTACTTTGGGAGGCCGAGGCAGGCAGATCACGAGGTCAGGAGTTCAAGACCAGCCTGACCAACATAGTAGAACCCCGTCTGTACTAAAAATATAAAAATTAGCCGGGCGTGGTGGCACACGCCTGTAGTCCCAGCTACTTGGGAGGCTGAGGCAGGAGAATTACTTGAACCCAGGAGGCGGAGGTTGTGGTGAGCCAAGATTGTGCCATTGCATTCCAGCCTGGACAACAGAGCAAGACTCCATCTCAAAAAAACAAACAAAAAAAGCAAACCTCAAAAGATTAAATTCTGTGCTACCTTTTGTATAAGGAAGAAGGGGAAATATGAAAACATAAATGTATCTGCAGGTTTT